CAGCCCCTCCACCCCTTGCCCCTCTCTCAATGAATGGGTAGCAACAATGAACAGACTCCTCAGAGAAGCAACTGAAGCCCTTGAAAGAACACAAGAACAACAAGCCAACAAGACTAACAAACACAAACGTGACGTGTCATTCAAAGTAGGGGACAAAGTCTGGCTTTCTGCCAAACGCTTTGAACCCGAACAAGGCTTGTCCAAGAAACTCTCGAACAAGTGGCTCGGTCCCTTCCCCATCATTGAACAAACCTCCTCCGTCAACTACAAACTCCAACTCCCCCCTGACACGAGTCGTGTCCACCCAGTCTTCCATGTCGAGTACCTAAAAGGATACCATGAATCCCCGCTCCAGTTCGCCGACCGCCCATATCCTAGACCTCCACCAATCACGCTACCCGCAGGCCCTGAATTCGTTGTCGAAACCATCATCGGCTGACGAACCACTCAGGTATCTGATCATCCGAAACCAATCATTGAATACAAAGTCAAATGGACCAGATACCCCGACGAAGAATCTACATGGGAACCTCTCTCTAATCTTAAGAACGCCATGAAACTTGTTCGCGCCTATGATCGTGCTAATCCTACGTCCTAGATACCTATACCACTATGGCAAAACCCCCGCTAAACCCTTGCAAGCCTGCTCTACACACACCCCTGAACCCAGTCCACCCTTCCCTTGATCCTCATTCCTGATGTCTGATCTGCCTTGCCCTCGCCTAGCCTTGTCCCATCTGTCCTCTCCACTACCTTGTCTCTCTTGTCCAATGTTTGTGAACTTGCGTAACGCCGGCGATAAAGGATCTAATGGCAAGCGCACGAGGACGATGGCCTGCTGCCTCACTGTTCATGGAAATTATGCGGCTGGTTTGGCCACCATGCTGCTTCATTGGCCGGCATCCCGACTCGCAGACTTACTGGAGCAGCAACTTGTGACATGGATCTTTGCATCAGTCTGCGACTTCCCTGCTTCCAGATCAGACCTCATTGCAGTTCGTGTACCAGACGCACCCTAGCACTGGGACTTTGACACTTGAACTACTACTACGCTTCTTGGACTTCTACCTATCACAGTTGCTGAAGACCGCTTCTACCACCTACTCCAAAGACCTGATCAAGACCGCTGCAGACCCCCTTTCAAGACACTTGGACACTCTGTTCCTACATGAGATTTTGCTTCCGACTCCTTCGGACACACCAGCCTTCGCATCCTGAACAAACATTTTCATTTTTATTTTTCCTGACTTCGACATCCCTGAAGAACATCATTAGCAGATCCCTGTTTCCCTAACCATTGTTCCCCGTACCCACTAGAACATCAATAGACATCCCCTGTTCCCCTGACCATTGTTTCCCTTACCCACTACAACATCAATAGAAATACCCTGTTTCCTGAACACCGTTTCCCTTACCCAGTTGAACATCAATAGAAGTTCCCTGTTCCCTGAACTTTGTTCCCCCGTAACCTATAGCGAACCATGCAGTCCCCTTAGTTCATCAGTAGGACCACCTTGCTCCCTATCTTCCCTTTACTTCATTTGTAGGACTACCCTGTTCCTTGCAACCCCCACTAGTTCATCAGTAGGACAACTCTGTTCACCGGTACCAAACCCTGTTCCCTCTTACTCTCGCAGCCCATGCCACCCACATTATACCCCTTTTCCCTTTCGACTTGTTAACCAGTGATCGGCCCCGTCCCGTCCTTCTCAGATTTCAGCATTGCTTCATGATTTTTGGCAGCCGGGACGTTGCCTTCTAGAGGGAGGGGATAGTGTTACGGACTTCGCCAGGGCTCGATCCCTGGTCTATCTTTTTGCTGTTTCGATTGCATCCCATTTTCGGCCTGGCACCCTTTTTCCAAACCCCTCCTTTGGTACCGTAGGATTTTGGACAAATGGCGCCATGCTGCAATTCAGGCGCCACTTCCAAATACTGCATTTTTTAGTTTTGCCCTCGGGGCCTTTGCAGAAATGCCCCTGGTACCGTACATGCCACCGGTACTTATACCGACTCCCCGTACGGTACGGGGACCAGTCTCGTACCAGTTCTCTGCTGCTGTACTTGTACTCAGTGTGACTTGCCGTTTCGGATTTGGAATCGAAGACTTCGACTTTGTGCCTTGCCACTGTGTCTGCGTCCGACCCTCAGCCCGAGTCCGTCGTGTTGAGTGAGTGAGTGTGTGTGTGTGCTCTCACTCTCTCCCTCTCTCTCTCCTCTCCCTCGGCTCACCCTCAGCCTCACGCTCGTTACAAGGAGGGTCCTGCGATCGTCGGCCCGGAAAGTCGTCGCTTTTAGCTGGCGTGTATGTTGCCAGCTTTGAGGCGTGAAAGACTGGATGGACCGTCAGATGCGCGGGGATGTTGATCACAAATGAAGGACCACCGGGCTCATCGCCCGCGGCTGATGTTACGGGCCATGGTCCAAACCACTTGGGAAGCAGTTTGCGTGAGACATCCTGTTCCAGTGCAAACTCTTCCGCGGAAACCCAAACCAGGTCGCCGGCGCGGATGGGACATGGCACGTGATGCTTGTTGGCTTGCTGTTGCATGCGGACTTGAGCCTTTTGCATATTCGCGCGGGCTTGAGCCAGCAATTCCCTGTACTTCCGAACGGAAGC